TCTAGGAGCCAGTTTCTAGACCACGCATCCAGCCTGTCCAGGTCTCTTTGTAGACCTGTCTGGTCCGCGCCTGATTTAATTCTCCTCATTAACTTCACATCATCTGCAAACAGGGACACTTCTGAGTCTATCCTTTCCGTCATGTCGTTCACATATACCAAGAATAGCACTGGTCCCAGGACTGACCCCTGTGGGACCCCACTCGTCACTGGCGCCCACTGTGATACCTCATCACGGACCATGACTCGCTGTTGCCTCCCTGTTAGGTATTCTCTGATCCATTGCAGTGCCCTTCCTGTTATACGTGCCTGTTCCTCTAGCTTCTGTACTAATCTCTTGTGAGGAACTGTGTCGAAGGCCTTCTTGCAGTCCAAGAAAATGCAATCAACCCACCCCTACCTCTCATTTCTTACTTCAGTTACTTTGTCGTAAAACTCTAGTAGGTTTGTGAGACAGGATTTGCCTTCCATGAATCCGTGCTGACTGTCGTTTATAATCTTGTTCTGCTCCAGGTGCTCCACCACTCTCCTCCTGATAATCTTTTCCAAGACTTTGCATACTGTACATGTCAGAGACACTGGTCTATAATTTAGTGCTTCATTTCTGTCTCCCTTCTTAAAGATGGGGACTACATTTGCCTTCTTCCATACTTCAGGTAGTTGCCCAGTTTCAAGGGAAGTGTTGAAGATTTTGGTTAGTGGCACACGTAGTGTCCGTGCTCCCTCTCTAAGGACCCACAGAGAGATGTTGTCCGGTCCCACCGCCTTTGAGGTATGAAGGTCACTTAGGAGCTTCTCCACCTCCTCCTCAGTTGTGTGTAATGCATCCAACACTTGTTGGTATATCCCTTGTTGCTGTACACCACTGTTTTGTCTCCCCATTGTCCCTTCAGCCTCCACTGTAAATACTTCCTGAAATCTCATGTTGAGCTCCTCACATACCTCCTGGTCGTTTCTTGTGAGCTCCCCACCTTCTTTCCTCAGACTGATTACCTGGTCCTTGACTGTTGTCTTCCTCCTGATGTGGCTGTAGAGTAGTTTCGGGTCAGACTTGACTTTCGATGCTATGTCATTTTCATACTGCCGCTGCCCCTCCCTTCTTATCTGTGCATATTCCTTTCTGGCTCGTTCGACTAATCTCTTTATTCTCCTGAGTCCTTTGCCTTCTGTACTTTTTTCATTCTCTAGAGCACTTAGTTTTTGCCTCCCTGCACCTTCGGGTAAACCAAGGGTTCGTTCTGTCCTTCCCATTATTTCTGTTACCCTTGGGAACAAACCTTTCCTCTGCTTCCTTGCATTTTGTTGTTACAAAGTCCATCATTTCGTTTACTGATTTTCCTACCAACTCCTGTTGGTGTGTGTGTGTGTGTGTGTGTGTGTGTGTGTGTGTGTGTGTGTGTGTGTGTGTGTGTGTGTGTGTGTGTGTGTGCGTGCTTGTGTGTGTGTGTGTGTGTGTGTGTGTGTGTGTATGTGTGTGTGTGTGTATGTGTGTGTGTGTCTGTTTGCGTGTGTGTGTGTGTGTACTCACCTAATTGTATTCACTTAATTATGGTTGCAGGGGACGAGACTCAGCTCCTGGCCCCGCCTCTTCATTGATCGCTACTAGGTCCTCTCCCTCTCTGCTTCCTGAGCTTTGTCATACCTCCTCTTAAAGCTATGTATGGTTCCTGCCTCCACTACTTCACTTGCTAGGCTATTCCACTTCCTGACGACACTATGACTGAAGAAATACTTCCTAACGTCCCTGTGGCTCGTCTGAGTCTTCAGCTTCCAGTTGTGACCCCTTGTTTCTGTGTCCCCTCTCTGGAACATCCTCTCTCTGTCCACCTTGTCTATTCCCCGCAGTATCTTGTATGTCGTTATCATGTCTCCCCTGACCCTTCTGTCCTTCAGTGTCGTCAGTCCGATTTCCCTCAACCTTTCCTCGTACGACATTCCCCTGAGCTCTGGGACTAGCCTTGTTGCAAACCTTTGAACTTTCTCTAACTTCTTGACGTGCTTGACCAGGTGTGGGTTCCAGACTGGTGCTGCATACTCCAGTAGGGGCCCCTAACATACGCAGTGTACAGTGTCTTGAACGATTCCTTATTAAGGTATCAGAATGCTATTCTCAGGTTTGAAGGCGCCCGTATGCTGCAGCAGTTATTTGGTTGATGTGTGCCTCCAGTGACGTGCTCTGTGTTATGGTCACCCCAAGGTCTTTCTCCCTGAGTGAGGTCTGTAGTCTTTGTCCACCTAGCCTATACTCTGTCTGCGGTCTTCTTTGCCCCTGCCCAATCTTCATGACTTTGCATTTGGGCAGGGTTGAATTCGAGAAGCCAGTTTCTGGACCACATGTCCAGCCTGTCCAGGTCTCTTTGCAGTCCTGCCTCATCCTCATCCGATTTAATTCTTCTCATCAACTTCACATCATCTGCGAATAGGGACACTTCAGAGTCTATTCCTTCCATCATGTCGTTCGCATATATCAAAAATAGCACTGGTCCTAGAACTGACCCCTGTGGGACCCCGCTCGTCACAGGCGCCCACTGTGATACCTCTTCACGTACCATGACTCGTTGCTGCATCCCTGTCAGGTATTCCCTGATCCATTGCAGTGCCCTCCCTGTTATATGCGCCTAATCCTCCAGCTTCTGCACTAATCTCTTGTGGGGAACTGTGTTAAAGGCCTTCCTGCAGTCTAACAAAATGCAATCAACCCACCTGTCTCTCTCGTGTCTTACTTCTGTTACATTGTCCATAAAACTCCAGAAGGTTTGTGACACAGGATTTGCCTTCCATGAACCCATGCTGGTTTTCATTTATAATCTTGTTCTGCTCCAGGTGTTCCACCACTCTCCTCCTGATAATCTTCTCCATGACTTTGCACACAATACATGTCAGAGACACAGGTCTGTAGTTTAGTGCCTCATTTCTGTTTCCTTTCTTAAATATTGGGACTACATTTGCTGTCTTCCATTTCTCAGGTAGTTGCCCAGTTTCAAGGGATGTGTTGAAGATTGCAGTTAGGGGCATGCGCAGCATCTCTGCTCCTTCTCTATGGACCCACGGGGAGATGTTGTCTGGTCCCATCGCCTTTGAGGTATCAAGGTCACTTAGCAGCTTCTGCACCCCCTCTTCGGTTGTTCGTATGTCATCCAACACTTGTTGGTATATTTCCTCTTGATGTTCCCTTCTGTGCTGTCTTCCCAGAGCCCTTCCTATCTCTACTGTAAAAACTTCCTTAAATCTCCTCTTTAGCTCCTCACATACCTCCTGATCATTTCTTGTGAGTTCTCTTCCTTCTGTCCTCAGTCTGATCACCTGGTCTTTGACTGTTGTCTTCCTCCTGATGTGGCTATACAACAGTTTCGGGTCAGTCTTGAATTTCGATGCTATGTTATTTTCATACTGTCGCTGGGCCTCCCTCATTACCTGTGCATACTCGTTCCTGGCTCTGCGACTAATCTCCCTATTTTCATGTGTTCTCTGCCTTCTGTACTTTTTCCATTCTCTATTGCACTTTGTTTTTGTCTCCTTACACCGTCGGGTAAACCAGGGGCTCGTTCTGGTCTTCCTATTGTTTCTGTTGCCCTTGGGAATAAACCTTTCCACTGCCTCCTTGCATTTTGTTGTTACATATTCCATCAATTCATTTACTGACTTTCCTGCCAGTTCTCTGTCCCACGGAACCTCCTGCAGGAAGTTCCTCAACCCTATGTAGTCCCTCTTTTATAGTCTGGCTTTTCCCATTCAACTCCTGTTACTCTCTCCACTTGCAACTCTACTATGTATTCAAAGCACAGAACCACGTGGTCACTAGCTCCTAGGGTACTCTCATATATGATGTCCTCAATGTCTGAACTGCCCAGGGTGAACACAAGGTCCAATCTTGCTGGTTCATCCTCCCCTCTCACTCTGGTTGTGTCCTTAACATGTTGGTGCATGAGGTTTTCCAGCACCACATCCAACATCTTGGCTCTCCATGTTTCGGGACCCCCATGTGGCTCCAGGTTTTCCCAGTCAATCTCCCTGTGGTTGAAATCCCCCATAACCAGCGACTTTGCTCTGCTGGGGTGAGCTCTTCTTGCCACCTCAGCAAGTGTGCCCACCATTGCTCTGTTGCTCTCTTCATATTCCTCTCTTGGCCTCATGCAGTTCTGTGGTGGATTATACACCACTGCAATGACCACCTTGTGCTCCCCAGACTGAAATGTACCTACCATGTACTCCCTGTCTTGTCTGTGCCTCACATTTTCTCAAATTTCCATCGTTTTTTTACGAGCAGAGCAACCCCTCCTCCCCCTCTGCCCCTTCTATCTTTCCTCATGATCTGGTATCCTGGTGGGAAGACTGCATCTGTTATTGTCTCCATGAGTTTTGTTTCTGTAACTGCTATGATGTCTGGGGACTTCTCATTGATTCTTTCTTGCCATTCCTCATATTTATTCGTTAATCCATCCGCATTTGTGTACCAAACCTTCAACTTCTGTTCTAATACTGTAACTGTGGTCCTGGGGGAATACTGGGGTTGGGAGAACAGGAGCCCTGGTGGGGGCCTGTGGGGGGTTGCAGTGGAGGTGGAGGAGGTTTGTGTGTGTGTGTTGAGGTGAATGTATGTTTCGGTGAGCGTGTGTAGCACTGTGTATATTGTAGTAAGTTAATGTGTTGTAGTGTGTGTTGTTGCTTACATGGTGTGCTTTTGTTTACATGGGGTGTTTTTGTTTACATGGGGTGTTTTTGTTTACATGGTGTGTTTTTGTTTACATGGGGTGTTGTTTGCATGGTGTGTTGCTGTTTACATGGTGTGCTGTTGTTTACATGATGTGTTATTGATTACATGGTGTGTTGCTGTTTACATGGTGTGTTGTTGTTTACATGGTGTGTTGTTGTTTACATGGTCAAGGCAAGATATTTACACTTTTATTTGCTTGAGAATATTGAAAAAACAAGTGATTTTGTGTCTAAGTTTCTGTTGTAATGGATGACAGACATATTCAAAGAGAATTTGACCTGTTACAGTGGGAGCAACGGGAGCATACTACATGCTGAACAGGAACACAGGACCAGGAGAGAGGTGCATACTTTCCTACAGTCAGGAAGCCATGGCCAAGGAATACGCAGCTCTCGCTGTTACTAAGAAGTCTCTCCTAAAACCTGTTTTTGACAAAAAGTAAACACCGGTTGTTTGCAGTGTAAACAATCAGTGTAAATACTGGTTGTTTACAACTGGAACACGTATTTACAATAGTTATTTAGTTTGAATGATTGTTTCCAATTACAATACTTGTTGTGTACATTTTTAATACTTACAACGCAAGCACTTAAACACTTGTTGCTTTCAAAGTAAACACTGATTGCAGTGTAAACACTAATTGCAATGTAAACATTGATTGAAATATAAACACTGAGTGTTTATAATTTAGTAATGAATGCGTAGGGTGCAGATACTAATTCACAGCATAAACACTAAATGTTTGCAGTATAAACACTAGATATTTAAGGTGTAAACACTGCTTGTTTGCAGTGCAAACACTGTTCTCACAATGTAAATACTGATGGCAATGTAAACTCAGGAAGTTTATAAAATACAAATTTTTTGCTATGCTTTTTTACTGTGTTTACTTCGTAAAAAAACACTTTTCACTACGTAAAATGTGTTTTTCATAATGTAAAAACTAGTTGTCTGCTGAGCAGACATTTTTTTTTTTTACATACACTGCTTGTTTACACTGCAAACACCTGATATTTAAATGTAAATAATATTTACACTTCTAGGTTTGGTTGTTTACAATGTTTACAATATCAGTGTGCTCTTGTAAAACTTTGTCTTTCCTGTACTTATGCGCATGACTAGACCAGGTGCACGTGACATAAACATGTGCACAAATAATGATATCAACATGTGCACATGACATAAACATGTGTACATATAATGGCATCAGCATGTGCACATGTTGTAAAATGTGACATGACATAAACACGTATGCTCAGCAGGGGAAAAAACATAAAACATTTTCACATATAAGCGTCAGGGGCCATGACATGAACCTGTGCAATTTAAAAACACAGCAGTGCACATGCCATAAAATGTGAATGCATGACATCAGCATGTGCTATAACATGAACATTGCAAATAAATATCAAGTAAGTGCAATAACATGAAAAATATGCATATTTAAAAACTCAGCAGGCATGCGTAAACATGTACACATAAAAAGAATGGGGACTCAAACTGAAGTCGAAGGCTCGGGGATGAAGAAAAAGGGTTTTGGCAAAGAAAATGGATGGAAAACAATGTAAAAGGATAGAAAAAGAGTGGGAGAGCAAACTAGGTGAACTTTTTTGGGAAAATGGAGAAGGGATGGAAGCAGAAAATTAAAAAATGGAGCACAAGCGGGCAGCAGAGCCAGGTCGGGCCCAGAAAATTTAGGGAAATAGGTAGAGCGAGTTACAGGGGCTATTGCCCAGAGGAGGATAAAATCTGAAGCGGTGCACCCAAAAAATGACGAGGACCAAAAGGAAAGGAAGGCGACATGATTTACTAAGGAGAGCTGTTGGGTGAGGGATACTAGTAAGAAGGGTGGAATGGGGAAAATCCCATGCAGAGGCACGACCCTGCCACCAAAATTTCAGAAAAATACAAAGGAAACAATAACCATGTCAAATGGGACCCAGGACCAGAAAAAAGGCAATGGGAAAAGGAGGGGAAAGTCGTGTTTATTCATGGGCTACGGGAAGCGGGGGGAAACACACAATGAAAGAGGGCAGGAAAAAAAACGGAATAGAAACTCATAAAGTAATAGGCGAGGAAGAATGATTGAGATGTAAATTTTGGAAGAGGGGGGGGGTTTTTGAAGGGGAGAAATCACCAGTCAAGTTGTTTTTTCAAGACAAAAAGGGTGAAAAAAAGGGGTCCTGAAGAAAAACCCATGGCAAAAGAATAGTTAACATAAAAGAGGGGTTCCCTAACCGAAACGAACAAGGACAGAAGACAGCAGCTAAAGGGAAAACACAAAAGCGAAGGGGCTAGGAAAGAGACAAGTGAAAATTCCCCAGGGGAAACCAGAGCGGGGAAAAAGCAACAAGCACAAGAAAACCACAGAACCCCTCCAAACCTCCAAACAAAACCATTTCCCCAAACCCAAAAACCACAATCCACACTTACGCCCCCCCCCCACATTATGCTGTAGCATACCACAGCCACTGACAGGTCCTCCCCCTCAGAGACCCCAGACAAGTGTTGGGAGGAACTGAAGGTTGGTACACCAAAATTATTCTTTTGAATAAGTGGGTTTGTGGCATGAAAGAGTCAAAAGGTTGCCCGGGGTCATAGCTTCAGAAACCACGCTCACGGAAAAATAACAGTCATATTTCCTTTAGGATATCCGATCCTAAGGAAAGACAGAGGGAACAAAGGGGGTGGAGGAGTGGCACTGCTCAACAAAAACTGATGGGATTTTAATGAGCTGGAAAGAGGAGACAGAGGAGAAGCAAGAGACTACATAATAGGAACACTTAAGTATGGAGGTCCCAAGGTGGTAATTTGCAGTGATTTATAAACCTCCACAGAACAGCAGGAGGCCAAGGCAAGAGTATGATGAAAGCAATAGAGCGATGGCTGACACATTGGCTGAAGTGGCCAGGACTCATGCAAGCAGGGCAAAACTGCTGATTATTGGTGACTTCGATCACAAGGAAATTAACCGGGAGAACCTGGAGCCACATGGGGGCCCAGGAACGTAGAGGACTAAGATGATGGCGGTGGTACTGGAAAACCTCATGTACCAACACGTATGAGACACTACCAGAAAGAGAAGAGAGGATGAGCCAGCAAGATTGGGCCTAGTATTCACCTTCAGTAGTGCAGATATTGAGGACATCACATGTGAAAGGCCCCTTGGGACCAGTGATCATGTGGTTCTGAGCTTCGAATATATAGTAAAGTTACAATTAGAGAGGGAAGCAGGAAGGGCAGGACGAATGAAGCCAAACTACAAGAGAGGGGACTACATAGGCATGAGGAATTTCCTGCATGGGGTTCAGTGGGATAGAGAACTGGCAGGGAAGTCAGTAAAGGATATGATGGAATATGTGACAACTACTGTAGTGCACTACTGCACTACAGTAGTTGTCACATATTCCATCATATCATGGAACTCTGTGAACCTTTAACTAATATTTTCAATTTATCTCCTCAAACAGGTGTGGAAGATGGCTAATGTAATTCCTATTTTTAAAGCAGGGGACAAGTCGTTACCGTCAAATTACCGCCCAATAAGCCTAACCTCAATTGTAGGCAAATTCCTAGAGCTGTTAATATAAGAAGCCATCTCGATAGGCATAATTTGATTAATGATACTCAACATGGTTTTCACCAGGGGCTGTTCCTGCCTAACTAATTTATTAACCTTCTTCAGCAAAGCTTTTGAGGCCGTTGATCAGGATAAAGAATTCGATATTGTTTATTTAGATTTTAGTAAGGCTTTTGATAGAGTACCTCACCAGAGACTGTTGAAGAAAGTGGCCTCTCATGGCACTGGGGAAATAAAATGCTGTCATGGATAGAGTCATGGCTCACTAATAGGAAGCAGAGAGTGTGCATAAATGGGGTTAAATCTGAGTGGGGATCTGTAACAAGTGGCGTTCTGCAGGGATCAGTTTTAGGCCCATTGTTGTTTAATATATATATGAACGACCTTGACGAGGGAATTACTAATGACATAAGCAAATTTGCTGATGACACGAAGATAGGTAGGATAATCGATTCAGACGTTGATGTCTCACAGCTTCAGGAGGATTTAGACAAACTCAATTCGTGGTCAGAAAAGTGGCAGATGCAGTTCAGTGTAGATAAATGTAAAGTTCTAAAGCTCGGAAATGTCCATAACCCTAGCACCTACCAGCTTAATAATGTTGAACTTAGCCGTATAGAATGCGAAAAGGATTTGGGGGTTATGGTAAGCAGTAACCTTAAACCAAGACTGCATGTGAGGGAAAAGTTCAACAGATAGGAGTAGTGAGCCAGTATATGGCAACGATAGTTTGATTGCCGGCTGCATACAGGGAAGGGAGTACCATCATGGTATTGTAGTAACACTGCACCTAAGCCGGTATTGGAGGCATCAGTTCTTAATCAAAATGTTTTGTTAATATCTGGGATCTTAAGCATAGGGTCTTTTGAGAAGATATTCTTAATCTCATTAAATTTTTCTCGAGCTACATTGGAAAGTTCAAGAGGTTCCTTCACAGACTTTTTAAGGAAGTCAGATAAGATGCCTGTAAGATCAGTAAGGTTCGGGATAAACCATGCATAAAAATTTACAGAACCAAGAAAGCTACGCATGAGCTTCTTGGTTTTGAGGAATTTAAACTTTAATAAAGCTTCGATCTTATTGGGGAGAGGCTGCAAAGAGTTATTAGAATGGATCAGTCCGAGATATCTAATCTTGTTATACCCAAGGAAGCATTTCTTTGGCTTGGCAGTGAGGCCATGTGAGCGTAACCTACATAAAACTGATGTTAATGTTTGGATATGCTTGCTCCACGTCGATGTCGTTACGTAAATGCTATCAAAATAAACTAAAACATTTGGCATATTACCCAAGACCTTTCTCATCAGTCTCACGTAGGTAGCACAGGCAGTTACCAATCCGAAGGGCATAGTTCTATACTGCATCAGTCCTTGGTGGGTAGGAAAAGCAGTGTACTGCTTAGAAGAAGGATTTTAACATTACTTGATGATATGCCTGTGCAATATCATCAAGTAATGTGCAATATGACCTGCCAGTGGCCAGACATTTCTCGCACCGTAAAACCTTAAATAAAATTAGGGAAACCTATTTTTGGCCCAAAATGTTCTCAGATATCACTACCTATTGTAGATCGTGTAAAGTATGCCAACTGTCATCCTCCCGAGGTACCCGGCGAGTACCTATGGTCAAAATGCCTATCTTTACGGTACCGTTTCAAAGAGTAGCTATTGACATTGTTGGTCCTTTATCACCACTTTCATCTGGGGGACATAGATATATATTAACATTAGTTGATTATGCTTCGAGTTTCCCTGAAGCCGTACACCCTTAAAGACCATAACTACTACAGAGGTGGCTGAAGCCCTTTTGTCCATCTTCTCCAGAGTTGGCATCCCTAGAGAAATTTTGTCTGACCGTGGGAC